CAAAGCCTTAGAGCGGAAATAACTAAATGTCTCCACAAATCCAAAACACCTAAAAGAAACATTAGCAAAGGAGAATTCAATGCCCTGATCAAACTGAAACAAGATAAAAACATAACGGTCCTTCCTGCCGACATAGGCATCAGAGCTACTGTCATTATGAATACACCTGACTACGAAACTAAAACGAGCAACCTTTTATCAGACAAAGATACCTACAAAAAACTAAAGAAAGACCCCACCCATATTTTTAAACGGGAGTTAATTTAATTCGTAAATGGCAAAATGAAGAACCTATACCGAAGGCCACTAAGGATTTTATCTACCACACATCAGAGAAGTTCCTAAATCTATGGCACTCCTAAAATCTACAAACAGGAAATATCACTTAGGCCTATTGTGGCTAGTATAGGTAGTGTCACATACAACGCATCTAAAATGTTAGCTACCATACTTGGTCCGTCAGTTGGCACCACGGAACTCCAATAGTCAAGATTTTATAACCAAAATCAAATCACTAATCATTCCTTCTGGTCACAAAATAATCTCGTATGATGTGTTTGCTTTGTTTACAAGCATTCCGGTTTACGAGGCAATAGAGGCAATCAGAGATTATTTAGCACATGACACATCCATCACAAACCGCACTTCATTAACCATCACACAGATACTTGATCTCCTCACTTGTGTACTAAATACCACATATTTTAGATACAGGGGAGAATTTTTCAAACAAACGCATGGCGCAGCCATTGCAAACTTATATATGGAACAAAAAAACAAAACAAAACATTATCAACAGCACCTTATCCTCCACTACTATGGTACCGTTATGTTGATGACACTTTCGTAGTCATCCACGAGGAGTATATTGACAACTTCACAAAACACATCAATAATATGGATCCTCACATTAATTTCACCTATGAAAAAGAGTACTGCAATGATAACAACAGTGTCAAAATCACTATAAAAAACCGACTCATACCGACCAGTATTTACACTTCGATTCCAACCACCATCAAGAACATAAACAATCGGTTGTGAGAACATTGCTCCATTGTGTTAACACATTAGTCACTACAGAACAAGACAAACAGATCGAACAGAAACATATAAAAACAGCACTGAAGGCCAACGGTTACAAAGACTGGATATACAATATCCCACATAAGCAACACAACACAAAACCACTCCAGAAAACAATACTACACAGATTAGAGTACCTATACCTTACACCAGAGGCTTATCAGAAAAACCTACTAATAATATACAAAGAACATGGGGTACAAACATACCACAGACCATTTATTACCATCAGATACTTTTTAGTACACCCCAAAGACAACACTCCAAAAGCCAACTTATGTGGAGCAATTTATAAAAATCTGTTGCCTGGAATGCCCTGCCACGTACGTTGGCGAGACAGCAAGAGCAATTGGCACAAGATACAAAGAACACACTCTGGACAATCTGGATTAATCACAGCAGTTAGACAACATATCAAATCAACGAAACACATCATTACATACAAATGGAAAACATGGAAGTAGTGTGCCGTGAGGGACAATACTGGAAAATAAATATAAGGAAAAGCATCGAAATTCACACCCAGAAGCCCACCCTGAATAGGAACACAGGATATGACCTACCAGCCATCTTCAGTGACCTGCTGTTACGTGACTGTTCAACCATAGAACGGTCACAAAACCAGTAAGGTAGGTCCCTGAATGATGCCGTTGTGACAACAGCCAAAGCTCGGACTCAGAAAAACGAAGACTCTGAAAGGTAACATTTTCACTATCATGTATGTATATAAATATATATGTTTGTATATATATGTATATGTATATATTTGATTTTATATATATATATGTATATGTATATATTTGTGTGTATATATATATAAGTATATATGTATATATATGTATACATATAATATAGTAGCTTTTCAACGAATAAAGGCATTTTATTACACAATGAATTTTATAGGACTTTATTCGTTGAAAAGCTACAGGGTAGCCTACGATGTTCCATCATGTCCTTATTTAAACACTGTATATGTACCTTTGATGATTTATATTATATTTATTCAACAGTGTTAACGGCTAACTCCCTTCAATATCATGTATATGTATATGTATATATGTGGGGGTGGGTGTGTGTATATGTTTATATGTATATATATATGTATATATATATGTAAATATATATATATACATATATATATATATGTGTGTGTGTATTATATGTATGTATATGTATAGATATATACATGTATGTATATATGTATGTAAAGGGCGTAATAATAACACAATACAAATTAATTAATTAATTTAATTAATTAATAGAAATCTATAAGGTGCTCTAAATGCTAAAATATAATAAGAGATAAGGTTGCCCTTGGAGTCAAAGGTAAGGATTATTATTTCGCGATAAAGAGTGTGATAAATAAAAAAGGGATCAAAACAGTGAAACTACAACACACCAAATATGAAAAAAAAAATGTGGAGACAAATAGGTACATTCACTAAAGCAAGATTCAACGCCTAGTAGTAAGTAAATAGGAAGCTAAAACAGAGGCAAACATTCTTTAAGTGCAAATACTGCGGTAGGAAGCATTTAGGAGGCCATAATTCATAGCTAGTAGAACATGTTCCTTATGTTGCAAATGAAATCACTTAGCATTGTAATGCATGCAAAAGACGACGGTACACCCATCACAAAATACGGATAGCGATTCATCCGACTATGAGGACTTTAATTTTGTTGATAAACACACACTAAGAAGTAAGTAAGAACCATGCAATACAAATACCAAAATATAAATAAATATAAATGAACACAAAAAATTAACTTACTCTCCATAAACTCTGAAAAAATGAAGTGACAGAGATTGTTGAAGACAGAAGACAGCACTTAACCTTAATGTGTTCATAGGCTGGAAGATAAACATGAAATAGAAGTCGTTTCACTAGCAAACCAGTAGTCCAAGCACCACGCAAAGTGCTGATAGCAGTAAAAGAAAAGCAAAACGTGAACTTGACCGATTAGAGCATGAAGGTACCATTACCAAAGTAACAACAACTACACCATGGGCATAGAATATCGTAGTGATCGACAAGCGAATAAGACGAGAAGACCTAAAACCACTGAAAATGTAATCAATCGCGATTTCGACATGGGTATAATTAAGCAGTAGAGGAAGAAGAGGTTGAAGCCAAAGAACAAAAGGTCTGGAAAATAAATTCTAACAATTTAGGCAGTAAGTGCAGAAATGCATGATGCTGTCTAGTAAGTAAGTAAGCTGGCTGGCAGGCAGACGGATAGGCAGGCGCACAAATACTTTTGGAATAGTAAGCGTACTAAAACAGTATCAGCAAAGGCAAAAAAAAAAAGCACTTGAAAACTTATCTGGAGTAAAATGACATCCTAATATACGAAAAAAAGAGACAGTAAAACAAGCAATGCGAGACTGTAACAACAATCTCAGCCTTTATGAGAAATAAGAATGAAAGGAGTGTCATATCATTGGTTGGAGAACGCATTTGCGAACATTAAAAGAGCACCCAGTGAGTGGTGGCGCCAGCGCAGGGTGGGGGAGGGGGGTTGGCAGGGGAATTTGCCCAAGTGTTAGACAGGCCTGAAGCCCCCTGTCATCCGACGAACGATGGTAATGGTACCGTCATGCTCTCATCGGTCCAGTTCACATTTTGCTTTTCTTTTACTGCTTTCAGAACTTTGCGTGGTGCTTGGACGAATGGTTTTGCTTGCGGATCGACTTTATTCATGTTTTTCTTCCAGCCTGTTAACACATCTTAAAATTCTGTTAGAAGATCATCAATGTTAAGGCTGTTTTCTGTCTTCAACAATATCTTGTCACTTCCATTTTTCTGAGTTTATGGAGAGTAAATTAATTTCTTATGTTCATTTATATTTATTTATATTTTATTTATATTTATTGTATTTGTTAATATTTTGTTGTACAACCCATTTTTTAAATCTTCATCTTAGTAACCATCCAATTCTATCCATTATGTCCCACAAACACTTAGGCATAATTATATGATAACACTCTAACATGGAAGTCTCACACGTCTTCCCTTTGTCAGAAACTATCTTCTTGCACGAACCTCAAAATTTACTAACGACTCTACCCTTCAAATACTTTATAATTCATTGTTTCTCTCTCGCCTTGACTATTGTTGCTTATTTTGGGGGTCAAAATCTACCTCATTATCTAAAGTTCAGAACATCCAGAACAGAACCATTCGTATCTTATTGAAACTTACTCCTACCACTCACCTTACTCCTACTCATTTCAGATCTGCCAATACCCTTACCCTTCAACTCCGATTTCAATTTCAACTCTGCTGTTTAACTTACAAAGCTCTTCATAACCTTGCTCCACAAACTCTTTGTCAATGCCTTAAAAATATTGTTGCCAGTGGCCGTATGACCACAAGAAAAATCACTAAAGGTGATCTTCTCTTCCTAAGCCTAATCTAGAAATCTTTAAAAATTTCATTCAGCTATAATGCTCCTTTACACCTACAACTCTCTTCCGCCGATTGTCCTTTCCACTTTCTCTTTCTCTTCTTTCAAATCCAACCTTCTTAATCTTTCATCCAATCTTGTGTAATTTTCCCTGTGGCCTTCTCTTTTTGTTGCAATATTTTTAATCTTGATTTTGTTCTGTTTTGTATTGTAAATTATATATTTTTAATAAACAGTTTATTTAACATTTTTCTATTTTTGCTAGTTTAATTATCTTCTCGTTAATTCTTTTGATTAATTTTTTATTTCAATTATTTTTCTGTCTAATGTGTCAATTTTAGTTTTTCCCCTTTTTTTTCTCTTGCTTTAATGTTTTCCTAAATCATTAATTTATATAATTTAAATAAATTACCCTTTCAAATCTTCTTTTGTGGTTTTACATAGTTACCAAGGACTAATACATTTTGTAAAATTGGTGATAAACAAAATGATACTAAGAGACTCACCAAAGATGTTTACTATAAACATACAGTAACCTGTGTTACCAGCAGAATCAGTTGCAAAACAAGTAACGTCAGTTAAACCAAGATTAAATATAGAACCTGAAGGCGGAGTACAAGTAGCTGACAGTCCGGTATCATCATTGTCAGTGACTATTGGGTCAATCCAGGTCACCGTACCTCGGCCAAAGGCATTACCAATGGCAACATCACCATGGCATGTCACTCTTGGACTCTCATAGTCTAGAAAATAAAAGTTAAAAAAAAAACATTTTTAAAGAAATTTATGAGAAAACAAAGCATTTGCCTCTCAAACTGAATTGCATTTCATGATTGAATATGCAGGTATAAAAAAAAACAACAAGTCAATCCATTAAAAAGACCTCAAATAAACAAAACTTAAACCAATCATAAATTTAAGTATAGTGTACCACTCAAAGTTTCAAATCATTAATTAACTTCACCAGATATGGTAAAGGACTTATCATGAAATGAAGTTGAAATTGCAACATAAAAAAAAGTCGTTAAAAGGTGTAAAGTAAAAGAAAAACATGGAAAATCAATATAATTATAATGAAGTGAAAAAAAAAAAAAACAGCGAAAACTAAGTTTACTGCGACGTTATTAGTGAGACTTGAACCATGGCTGCAATGGTAATAGCGAGGTACACCGTGACTCACAACCATTGCTTGCTATATGAGCCGACCTTGCATCGGAAAGTGCATTTTCAGTTCATAGCGATTCAATAACTGAAAGCAAACATTATTCATATTCATTAATAGATACAAAGCGCCAGGCCCAGATAACATTCCGAACTGGATACTAAAAGAATGTTCAACTTAATTGGCGTATTCTCTGTGTGCAATTATTAGCTCCAGCTTGCGAGAGAATACGTGCCTCAGATATGGAATTCAGCAAATGTTGTGCCAATTCCAAAAGTCAACCATCCAAAGAACATTGAAAATGACTGTACTATTTCTCTCACACCCACAGTGGCAAAACTCACTGAAAGCCTAATAGTTGAACACTTTTGGTCTAAAGTAAAAGATTAGCTTAATGATAATCAAGTGGTTGTATGAAGGGTCTTTCGACTGTCGACGCTTAGTTAAACTCTTCTCTCATGGCTACTATTCTACAGACGATGGGGAAGAGTTGCGTATCTTATTAGTTGATTTTAAAAGGGCTTACGATTGCATTGATCATAATATTGATATCCACAAACTAAGAGGCCTCGAAGTTTCTCCTCATATTATAGCCTGGATTAGTTCACTTCTAGAAAATAGACTCCAATAATTAGGAAATTTCACTACAAATTGGCTCTTTCCAAATGGGGGATCTGGCCATGGTACCTGGCTCGCAGTTATCATCATCATTATTTTCATAAATGATCTTAAGGTTAAAAAAATGTGTGTTAAATTTATGGGCGATACATCCATTCCAGAATACATTGACAAAAATCAAGTATCCTCTGAGAACTACATGAAACTAAAGAAATTTTCATTAGTTGTACACACATTTGCCCCTCGTCTATTTATGTCTATTGATGGAACCATCATTGAATCGGTGATTTCTACTAAACTGTTAGGTATTTACTTTGTGTTCCAACTTATCTTGGCAACCCCCATATTGATGGTATTTTAAAGAAGTGTAACTCCAGGCTATTCTTTCTGAGGCATATGAAAATGTCAGGCCGTAATAATTAAGGTTTAATTGCTTTTTTTATAAACAAGTTGTAAGACCCATAATGGCATACGCCCGTCCTGCATGGGGGATGAGTTTAAATAAAAATCAAATATATCGGCTTGAACAGTCCGCCCCCCCCCCAAAAAGAGCTCTTAAGGTTATATTCCCTAATACTAAATATGAATATGCACTTAGTGAGGCTAATGTCCCTGAGCGTAGCACTAGGCGGCTTGATTTGTGCAAAAAAAAATTTAAAAAATGTTAAACTTAAAAAATCCCAATCATATATTAAATGGTCTTCTTCCAGAACCATGATAATAAATCTCACAACATAAGTCGAAAATGATTAGTATAATATTGAATCCCAACACGATGGCGTGTATTTCAATACTTGGAGTATGTATTATACTTTCTTATTAGTATTATTATTATTTTAATGGTTTAGTGTATAATGAAAATGATTGCAATTGCAATAATAATAATAGTATTAAATAATAGTCATTGTTTTAATGGTAGTAATAGTAATTTTAATAATAATTTTAATGTCTTTTGTGAGATTTTTCTTATGTGCCTTCTTATCTTATTGTACATGTGAAAAATGATGTTTGTTTTGTAATAAATTTATACTGAATTGAATTGAACACAAATCTTTAAATGGTCCTCATATCCACACCCTACTGCGGATCGTCACCAAAATTGGATAATTCCTTCAGTTCACCATGAAAAACTATTCTGCAAAGGAATGTGCGTCGAATCCAACAACCCTATTATTATTATCTCTGAAATTCTGAACACCTATTTTCCCCTACCGCCATCTCCGTTCAGCAAATACTGTAAGTTTCTTTTCACTGTCCCCACATTGGAATTAAAAATGTATGACCAACGAACCTTTACTTTTTGTGTCTCATTTCTGTGAAACGACTTACCCTCCTTGGATCCATTTAATAGTGCAGTTTGTACGTTGTTAAATTATCTTTTTATATAAATTATATTTCAAAACAAGATTTGTAAAACAAATACAGAAACACTTCCGAAATCCAATTGTACTGTACAATTTTGACTAAACTTTGTATAATATATACTTTAATGACCTAATACTTTATAAAATTATGTTCAGCATTGAAGTCAAAAACCTGACTAACAGTGATATTCTACATTATTTGTAACCCGATTTATTTCAGTTGTAGTAGATTTCTAATAATAAACTTTAACTTTCTAATTATCCTTAATTCCTATCAGCTAGCTAAAAAGTTTTTTTTTTCACGAAGTTTACTTCAATTTTATTACATAGAGGGCGCTTGCTTATACATTTTGCATAGCCATAGTATGATTTTGATCGACCTGACTTACCGTAAATGCTCGAATAAGCACCGCTCTCGAATAAGCGCCGCGGCACTTAATTGAGAGTATATCATATTATATTGTGTGTGATGAACACGGTTTTAAATACAAAGTATACAGTGTTAAAATTAATAACTAAAACAATGAAGACACAATCATTTCTTTATAAACGTTTGTTTACGATGGTAGGACCAATGATAGGCATACTGAACTGCAGGAATAGGCCTATGTGAAATAGGTTACAATGGAACGGGCATGGAAAAAGCCACGTTAATATTTTTTTTTATAAGCGCCACTCTCAAATAAGCACCGCTCTCGAATAAGCGCCAAACTGAAGCCTCCAAATATTTTATAAGCGCCGCCGCGCTTATTCGAGCATATACGGTATACCACGGGTTACACAAGAAGGGTATCCCTCCTCCTCCTTATATTAGGCCTACGTATCTTAACTACCAATATGATTCATGACTCCTAGTACAACCGCTTAGACATAAAACCTAAATCTTTGTTTAAACCATTAACACTATAAGACAGAGGAACAAACGGATCTCAGCACATCTTCTAGACTTAGTAGATTTGAAACCTAAATCACTGATAGTATGGCTCTTTAATTTTGAAATGGTGAGCAACAGGGAAGTCCTTTTGATGGTCTTTAACTATTTTTTGTGGTGTTAAGTCTAAGTACATTCGGTTTCGCCTACATAATTGCTGATTATTACATTTTAGTTCAAAATAGTAGTGTGTACAGAGCTTTTGTACGACGGTGACGACAAAATTCAAATTTGGCAAGCCGGGTTCGGCAAACGGGTGTCTATAAAACAAAGACCGAAAAACGAAAACCCCTATTTTTTCCATTTTATTTTGATGATTATGAACCTGGCTGTCACAAAATCAAAATTACGAAATTTTTTGGGCGCCTCTTTGTGAAATATTCAAGGGTCTTCGTTTTATAGACACCCTATATGGGTGTCTACAAAACGAAGACCGAAGACCTGAAAAACGAAGACCTTCAAATATTTCGCAATTATCTTATTATAAGTATTTCAAAATCATTATAAAACAGTTGCCAAGTACGTATTTCATTATTTCATCGGAATAAAATTAGGAATATCAAGAAATGCTTAAGGGTCTTCGTTTTATAGACACTCTATATGGGTGTCTATAAAACGAAGACCGAAGACCCAAAAACGAAGACCCCTATTTTTTTCTCTTTTGTTTTGATGATAATACATCTGGCTGTCACAAAATTACAATTACGAGGTTATTTAAACTTTAGTTTGTGAAATTATCAAAGGTCTTCGTTTTATAGACACCCATATATGGGTGTCTACAAAACGAAGACTGAAAAACGAAGACCCACATTTTTTTTTCTCTCCAGAATACGGGCTGTATGGGGGCGCTGTTGTCCAGAATACGGGCTTTCTCTCTCCAGTATACGGGCTGTGAAATCTGTCCAGAATACGGGCTCTGAAATCTGTCCAGAATACGGGCTGTATGATGGCGCTGTTGTCCAGAATACGGGCTTTCTTACGTCATATTCTATTTTTAGATTTTGGAACATCAGTGGAATGTAAACAGTAAAATTATAAAAAATAGCAAGCAAGAGCATGGTAAATGGTAAATTTTACGATTTTCATGGATTTTCTAAGCTACAGTTGTAGGCGACATTGCAGTGCGGCATATAGGAAACTCATGTTTACCTGGCCTAGGGCCTAGGCCTAGCCTCTGCCGCCTAGGCCAGAGGCCTAGAGGCCTACGCCAGTGGCGGTGCCAGCGGGGGGGATGCAGGGGGAATCTGCTCTCCCCCACCCCCGGTCGGACAGGCCTGGACCCCCTGTCGTCCTTCGGACGACTAGGTTGTCGGACAAAGGCCTTTTTCACGAATCGGTAGACATCTTGAAGTGATGACAAACATTGCGAATCAGCGGTGCGTAACCAACAGAAATAAGATAAGCTTTTGGGCTGATTTTCTGACATGTTATTTAAAAAATCATAATCGTCGTATCCAAAAATGTTTTCCAGCAAAATGTTCTTAAAAGACTAGTCTACAGCACTATATGATTGAAAAAATTGAAAAACAACTAAAATAAACATTTGGCACGATAATTAGGGCATTTTAAACGTAGCATAAAACTTTCGTGTTGTTACTGTTCCAGGTACCGATAATATACAGATTTCTCTTATTATAAAGTACAAGTTATGTTTTATAAAGAAGTATA